GCAATCAGTTTAATTAATCTTTGCTGGCACACCTCTGAAACAAAAGCTTTGAACTTGTTTGTAGCATGACATTGTTCATACAAATCTGTTTGAGGGGTGTGAATGCTGGCAAGTAATATAGCAGACGCCAATAGGAAAAATAAAGATTAAATACTATGTGATCTATTAGCTCTTGTATTCAGCATGAGAATAAACATCCAGCCTGATCTACATGAAGTTCACTTACGTCAATATGATGGGCTTTAGGTTTATTTTTAAAAGCAACTTTGTTCATCTGAGAAGCTACTGCCATGTGTGTGTATGGAAAGTGTTTGGTATTAGTTGAACTCATCTCACCTTGCTGTCTATGGGAACAGATAGAGGTCAATGCTTACTGTTCCGAAAATGCAACTTTGCACACCCAATTTTTGTTGTAAATTTTACGCCAAACGAGGGGAACCTGACACTTCACCCTGTATTCAGGTGGTGTTTGTGTAAGTAAGAGGTACTGATTCAGATGGGGAGTGAGATAGGAATAACTGGGTCTGCCTACATGAGATACTTAATGCACAGAAGACTAATTCTACTGCGTATTAGTGCAGTAGGCAAAACCTGGGCTAATGCATTAATATGCAATAGATTTACTCTACTGCACATTAACATCACTAAAAAAGCATTTGTGTGCTAGTGTGCAGTAGCGTGAATAACAGTGCATTAAGTTAGTACCTGTAATGACTGGTACTAACTTAATGCACTGTAATTATGGCACCTTAATGAATGTGTAGATGTGCTCACTAGCTTGTTGATTAAGTCTCTGGGTGTTATTTCAACAGAATGACAGGCTAATCCCTGGACATATGGAAATGCACATTTATGCCAAAGAAGATACCTTACTTCGCAAAAGAAAATTCTGGTTACAAATCATTCTGCTTGCTGTACCAATAAAAAACAAAATTGGTGAATGATTCATTGATTAGTAAACTGATTCAGCTGCTTCCCTCCCACACACACTGTGTTTAAGGGGTATGCTGTGTATAAGCTGTTTCTGTTCTCTCATAACTACAGTGCCATTTCAGCAGCAGTGGCTGAAGAGTGTTTATCCAATTATTGCACATAATTGTACACAATATGTACTCCACAAAATAAAACCATAAGCACTCCTAAGTGCTTTGGATCCACTGACAAGTTATATTATGAACATTTTACAAATGGGGAAATGCAGAAAGGTGAAGTAGCTTTGCCAAGGTCACAGAAAAAAAGGAGTAACAGAGTTAAAAACAGCAACCTGTTTCAGAGCTGCAACTTTTTGTGCTGTTCTCTGGACCATGATACCTCTGTGACCATGGTGAAAAAAAGTGAGGTAGAGAGTGGTGTTGATCTGAAGTCAGACAGAAGGTAGGCAAAAAAAGTCAGGCTCCAAATCTCTGTTCACTGAGGAGAAAAGGAGTTACACCTACATAACAAAGCATGGAACTGAGCTATGGGAAACCTCATTCCTCCCAGAAAAGTGGATTTTTCACTTGACAAGGTAAGGGTGGATAAGGTAAAGGTGTGCAGAATACATTGTTCACCATGAAATATCCTTAAGACAGCAGTCAACATGAGACTCTAAAAATGGTTGCTGCTCCAAACCTTCAGGTTAGTAGTATTGCTTTAGTGGTGCTCCTCCATCTGATCATTTCTCGCTCAAAGTTAACATAGGGCATGCCTACATGAGGCGCTTAATGCCTAGTAGACTAATAACACTGCACAGTAGTGTGCCAGGCAAAAGCTGTGCTATTACACTACTGAGCAATGGTATTAGGCTACTGTACAGTAAGAATCACAAAAAACATGCACCAGTACTACTACGCAGGAATGCAAATTACTGCTCATTTAGTTTGTACTTCATTAAGCAAGTACTAAATGAAATGTGCAGCTACTGCGTATTAATGAATGTGTAGAAGCACCCATAGGGACATATGTATAAATTCTTTATTTACTCCAATTAACAAATATAACCTGCTTACAATAAATATAGGAACAAATGGTTAAGGTGAAATTCTGAATTGTTTGCACAGACTTGCACCCTGTACATTGCAAGAACCATTATAGTGAATCTCCTATTAGAGTGATACTGTTCTGTGGAAAAAAATAGTATTCTACCTGAGGTTCTCATTGGATCTAGACTCACATTAGGTTTGTCAATATTTTTTTCTCCTCTCTCACTGTCCAAACTAACATCTTTCTCTCTGACAAGAAAAAAGCTAAGTAATAGTTGAGGCTGACTAAAAAAGCCTGTCCTACACTTAACAGAATGTCAGCATGTCATTGTCATGACATTCATTATTATTCTGATTTCTGCTCTCCATCACACAGACCTTTGCATTGTGACACTCAGTTGGCTTGACTGTCAGCTTTTTCACATGTTCCCATTCATATTCTACTTCTTCATGATCTAATCTGTCATTTAACCAAAACTTCCTTGATGCAAGGTTGTCTTTCTCTGTCATTTGCACAAAAACTCCAACGTACCTATATCATGATCAACAGAATAACACTGTGGCACTGTAGTACAATAGCACTAATGATCACTAGCAACATAATAATATTTCATGGTACTTGGAACCTTGAAATTCTCCCTGGTAAGAAAGGACACTGATGATGAAATTATTAATACTTCTACAGAGAGGAACATTATGTAAGGAAGTGATACAAATAACAATTTGTCCATTAAAATGACACACATACAATACCTAATTTGCAATAGGGAACCTGTGATTTTGCAAACCTAATCAAGGTGATTCGATTGCAATTAAAAATCACTATTGCCAATTGAAACAAATCTAATGGAAGAGAGAAGCTGTGAAGACACACACTCTAGAATCCTAGATAGCAAGCATATTACATCTGGGGACAAATAGCAGCAGCACATAGTTGTGCCACTGCTACTTGCGAATGCCTGTGCACACACGCTCTGGCGCACAGCAGGTTATCCTTGGGAGGGTAGGAGAGGCAGGTGCCAGCACCTGGGCTGACCCCAGCAGTCTTGCCTGGAGTCCTGGGGCTCAAGCAGTGGCAGTACAGGGGCATGGAGCCTGGCCAGCAGCCAAGGTGTGGCTCTGGTCAGCCAGGCTCTGATTTTGGATGCTGCATGCTGCTGCCACAAGTGCTACCCTGCTTTTTTCAGGTGTGTGGTTTTTTTTGACACTGGGATCTCCTGGTATCAAAAAACCCCACTGTACTGCTCATTTACAGTGCGGTTATTGCCTGCACATGCAGTGCGTGTGGTTTGTAGTGCTGCAGACAAGTTGACGGTGCTGCAAATCACACGTGTATGCTCATCTAGATGTGCCCAATGGGGCCAGGATTTTGTTCTGTTCCTTTAGTATCTGGACATTTAACATTTCTAAATTCTGGCATTAGAAGATCCAGATATGTTAACTTGGAATAACCAAGGATAATCCAATGGAGTTGTGAGATTCAAACTCAGGGAAAGCAGTGTATGTATTATTCATAACTATCCAAAAAGGACAGCGACCAAAAGTTATTCCCACTTCCCTTCTGCATCTCCATTTGGCTAAGAGACTTTTACATCACAGTGATCCATGCCACATCTGAGGTGGACTAGGCAGAAGAGGGAATATAGAATCTATTATGTAGGACATGCATAAAAGCACAGTACAGTTGAACACCCTTAGCATGTAGGGTGTTTTTACATGTACTCTGGGGATGGAAGGGGCATAACGTCTTGTGTATCAGTGTCCCCATGGTTCAAAATGGCAGTGGGGATGCTGATAGATGAGATGTATGAGGCTGGCTGGAGTGAGCTAATTAGTACGCTCCATCAGACTTAATTGAGTCTGCTCCGATGCTTTGTAATTACACCACATTGCACCAGACTCCCTGCATGTGTACAGGCACCCATATTGGCCTTATATCCCCATCACATACAACAGTTCTGTTATAGACCCTGGGGTAGATAGGGTTGTGATTTTAAAGTTCTCATTCTAAATTTTAAAGCTTCAGCAGATTACAGATTACTTCACAGATTGCTTCTCTCTGCACCCTACTGCAACCCCCACATTCACCAGAGGAGCTGCCCCCAACAGCCCCCAAGGAAAAAATATTCGAGAATGGGATGTGACCTCAGCAGAATGATTCTGGCTTTGGATCTTATTGGCAACCAAGATCAAAAGAAGCCCAAGTTCTGGCACTTTCAGGGATCCCGACAGCACTCATCACTTTGCACAAGCCTTTCCCGACATGAGTGGCTACTGATTGGCCTGTCCATGGTTTTCCTAGGTGTTAACAATAGAAATGATACCCACGTACGAGTGCAAAGCAAACATGGGAAGGTTGAAGAATGTGAACTTTAAGGATAGCAGTAAATCTTCTGTTGTAGGTCTAGGACAGAATCCTACATCCATTGAGATCTTTTGGAGTAGATGCTGAAATGAAATCGTGTACCTGCTGCCTTGATTTGCAATTAACATCAAAAACACATTTCCAATTTCACAGGAGGCCTTGATGTAGAGTAATCTTCCTTTTTCTAAACTGGATTAAAACCCGGTCATCTCAGGGGTATAGGTTGTAGCTGTGTTGTGGTCTCATGCATGGTGGATCTCATGCATGCTTTTATCTTGGCTTTACATGAAGATTTGATGCTTTTAGTGTTTACTAGTTCCACTGATGCTACTGATAAATGAGAAGCAACAATTTTTGTGTCGACAATTAACAGACCAGTTCTTGAGGATGATAAAATAAGTACTATGGTACATCTGTGCTTTACTTGCTGCTGTTATCTCAAAATATAACTAGGATTATTTTTGTTTGTTTAAATGCACTGCTTTTCATTTTTACAGGAATATTCAATAGGGGGCTAAGTTGTAAAAAACCTTACTTTTAAGCACACTCTAACATGAATGGTCCTTGTTGGGTGGAACAGGTAAAATCTCCACTTGTTAAAGGTTTTACAATATAAATGAATGGAAATGCATGTGGGTGACATTTTGTTAAAGAACATAAAACACAGCATGGTACAGGCTGCCGAAGCCACAAACTTTTTTATTTTACTATATATGTTGAAAATGTTGAATATTCACATACAACACAGTAGACTGTTCAGCTTGTCTCTTCTGTTTCAAATTCTGTGCTTTTAATATCAAGTGTCTGTACTGTGCCATTGATACAGACTTATCTTCAAATAACATCTCTATGCATATCCTGTTCTTTAGAACTCAGTGATACAGAAGTTGATAGAAATCTGGAGTTTTCCAGTACTGAAGACAATCAATAAAACTTCACTGAAAAACAGTATAAATGTTTCTGGTAGTTCAGTACTCTTGAATCTGAAGGTAACATAGTTTTTAATGCCATAATTTTGAGCTACTCATTGTATAAAGAGAAATCTAGGGAAAATATCTTTTATCTAAAATGTCCTTTCTAAGTCAATTAAACTCTGGTGATCTACGATATATGTACAGTATATAAATATATTTATGTGTATATATGTACACATATATTGGTTAGACATTCATTATAAATAGAGTTGTCTTAACTTAGGTTGTAGAAAAATAGCCACTTTGCTGGGAACATGCAAACACAGTATGCTTCAACCTAGCTTTAAAAAAAAAAAATCACTTTTAGCTCTGTTTTCTTGGATATAAATGTTTAGCATACATTTTTAGCTAATTTAACCACAAAGGAAAATTTCCCAGTAAAGTTATAAAATCTGTTTGATGCTAGGTTTAACTAGACTCATACACAGTATCTTTTAGGTAATTTAGTTTCAAGTATTATTCCCATATCAGCAAAGTCTAGACACTTTAGTTTTGCTGCTTTGTTACAGTAAGCTAGTCAACTCTTAACACTACAGGGCAAATTATGGCCAGTCTGGCATGCATGAACTGCAGGGAAGAGGTCTTCCCCTGTACTATTCCTATGTGGAAGGTAGCCCTGATGTGGGCTACCTGTGCTGATCCCATGCCCATTGAAATCAACTGCAAAGCCCTCATTGTATATATCTGAAGCCCAGAAGAGGCTGGTGCTATCATTTAGTCTTACCACCTACATAATACAGGCTCTTGAATTTTACTCAGTGATTACTGAATGCAGCCCAACACCTTATTGTTGATCTTTGATCTCTCTCTCACCCTTTAATGGTGTAGGAGCCCATAAGCTGTGGAGGGGGGAGAGGGGTGGGATCTAGCTTGCTCTATACAGATAGATAATTTTTTCTGTTGACAGACAAGCCAGAGAACAAAAAACAAACAAAAACAACAAAAATCTAGTTTGCTGCAAACCAGATTGAAAAATTTTCATTTTATTCCCCTCCCTGAAAAAGACTGAAAAGTTTTATTTATTTCAACCTGAAATGTGCCATTGGATTAAAAATTAAACAGTTTTGTGCATTTGTAGGAAAAGGAAAGGAAGTAAAAGGCTAGGTTCACAAAGCTGTTGCTGTTACCCCTCTTTCACCCCCTGGCTTGAGGTTAGAGCACTGACTAAGGTCATGGGAGAAAAAGGTTTGATTCCATCCTTTTCCTGAGAGGATATGAAGCCATTTTGCTCAGCCTCCAAACTTGTGGTGGGTGCTCACAATCTCTGCTGCTGACATTGTCTTGCTCTGTATAAATAAGTCAACACTCACCGGAGGAGAGGTTGGAATCTAGGCTTCACATTTTTCAATGGAGTCTCCTAATCACCAGGCTGGAGGTTCATTACCTACTTCCTTCTGTCTTGATGTCGATTCATGTATTTTTATACCATGGAACAGGATTAACAGGAAGAAATGAGAAAACTCTTTTCCAGAATAGCTTCCAGCTAGCTAGTAAATAAAGGGTGTACTCCTGCAAAGTCTGAGACGTGGGTCCTAAGGCAGAGGATGGAACTGAATCAAACTCGCATACATCCCAGGTCAGTGCTGTAACCCCAATCTACTACATAATGGCATGGCAGCTTCTTCGGCAGTTTTGTGAATCTAGTCCTCCCCTTGCAAAAACTCTTTCACCTGAAAGTGTTTAGTGTATTAATGTCCATTAGTTAATACTCTGGGGATGACAGAAGCTGTATTTTTCAGTGAATATTCTTCACTGAAAATATTTTCTCCAGGCCTAGTGGAAGGACTGCCCATAGGGTGTGTAACTACATGGGGGTGTGGACACAACCCCACTTTTGGAGGTATGGGGCTGCACTGAAGGAATGCAGACTATACCTGTCTTAGGAGTGTGGTAGGTGGATGCCAGTCCATACCTTGCATCCATCTTTCCATGCCACATTATAGGTGATCCTGGTCTTGGATATTACAGTCAACTTTGTGTCATATTTCTGACAACTCTCCTAGCGTAGTTTCCGCTTTAGGTACATTAATTTGCTCCAGAAATCTTTCTAGTGCCTGAAATGATGAATACTTGTTACATTGTTTTTCAGCACTTATACTTGAGAGAAAAAGAGAGAGAGAGAGAGAGAAAGAGAGAGAGGCATTCTATTTCTTACTGTAATAGTGTAAGTGCACTATAATGTTGGGATGGGTGCCCTCATATTAATTGTTAATAGAACCATGGTTAACTGAAGATTGACCAGTCACAAAAGGCTCATTTACTTTCTGATCCTCTTTCCTGGAAGCTGCTTGGTCCGAAATAGAGGAGAAGGAAAGCTGGTCATGTTCTATTATATGCTCTTGGTCGTCTTCCTTGTCCTTCTTCACATAAAACATTTTTCTAAACTTCTTGAGCTCATGGAGTTCACAGAAAGTTTCTAGAACCACCAACATTGCAATAAGGCCCAGCAACAGGTAACCTGGAAAAGAAACAAAAAACACAATGCCTAAAACATGAACAGGTACAGCTGATGAGATAGAGCTCTAACTTGGAATTCTTTCCACCTTTGATCACTGAATATATATTATTTTCCTTTCTTTTCTATTTTCAGGGGTGTCAACCTGCATGGGAGCTAACAGCACTCAGCATTTCTGAAAATGAGACTCACACTAATCATCCACTGGGCTTTTATTTTTTTCTCTAACCACACACACGCACACAGAGCTTCCTAGCAAGTCTCCAGGGAGGGTATTCTAACAAGCATTTCTTAATCTAAATACACTAATTAAACCATGACTATTTATAATCACTACTATTTATATTCTTGCCCAAATGATCTACAATTTCATTAATAATCTGTTAGTAAAAGTTTAGTAAAACAAACAGAAGCTTATTGCATTTTAATAAGTATGGCATGCTCTCCAGTCTGTGCAATAACATGCTGTACAGTTAACCTACCATTACTTTTACAATCATTTTTCATTTGGCTTCAATGTTCATTTGGGTACAGTGTTCTTTGTAACTGAAAGGACTAAATATACATTGGAATGTCTAGCTTCTGCATGAAACCCTCTCCTCCTCCCTAAAATGCACCTTTAAAGCATGATTAAATACTCAGAGTGTGTATGGACGAGTATGCATGTGCATTTCCCTGGGATAAATAGCAGCAGAACATAGTTATGTTGCTGCTACTTTTCCCCGGGGAATGCCCCTGCATGTGCATTCTGACACAAGGCAAGTTGCCCCAGGTGGGATAGAGCAAGCTAGGACCAGCACCTGGGATGGTCTCAGCAGCCTTATCTGGGGTCCTAGGAGCCTCCTGGAGCTCCAACAGCAGCTGTCCAAGTGTGTGGAGGCTGGCCAGCAGCTAGAGCATGGCTCTTGCAGGCCAGGCTCTGGGTAGTGCACACTGCTGCCACGCATGCCATCCTACTTTTTTCTGGCATGGGTTTTGGTTTTTTTTTGATACAGGGATCTCCGATCATTCAGCTCATCTGGATGTGCCAACTAGGGAATTATTGGCCTAAGCCTGCACAATTTCATTTTATGAAGCTTAAATTTAAGCAGTCTTATGCTTTAACTCAGATAGCCAAACAGGACCACCTAGCTCAGGTGGTTAGAGGGTAGCACTCGTAACACCAAGGCCACAGGTTTGATTTCTGGCTGGACTAGATGATTGCTTAAGGTCCTTTCCAGCCTTACTAATCCATGAACCTATGCAATACAATAAGGGCAAAATACTTGTTCTAAAAATAGAAAGGCATCTATATATCTTTACTAGGAACTCATTCTGAAAGCCAGACTTATCTAAACTTTGTGACTTACCAGGAAAAGGGTACCTAGATTTTCTCATTATGGAAAGTCTTTGACAATGAATTTTGACCCCTAGCCTGTCATTTATTGAACCTGTGAATAGGTGAAATTTTGGTCACAACAGTCTCTGGAGATTCTGAAACATATTGGAAATATTGAAACATTTCACAAGTTCTTTTAATACACTTTCAAAACAAATTGTGTTGATTAAAAACTTTTTGGTTAGAAATTTCTTTCAATTTTATTTTAAAAATCCTGAAATTGAAATGCAAAGTTCATTTAACCTGAAATTTTCTGTGACTTTTCAGTTCACCAAAATATCAGAAAAAAATTGTTTTTTTGGATTGACTTGCAATGATTTGTTTTTAATGGAGCTGCCAGTAAACCAGAAAGTCAAATTACTTGCATAGCTCTATTTCTACACGCTTAAGCATGCATTGTACCTGTATTAAGCTATCTGAATAGTAATAAATAATTAAATGCTCATGCCAACAGTCAGGATGGTGAGGCCTTTAGCTACGAGTTAAGAGTGTAGTATAACGCTGAAGAGGACAAAATATACTGCTGGCTAATTTAAGGGACTGCTTCTGAGAATGCAAATTCTGTACATGTTCCCATAGTCTGTCACCCATATAAGTAATGGACAATTTGACAACAGATTATGTACTTAGCGTGGGAGCACAGGCATCTCCTGATCAGTAGGGTGAATGTAATTGGTAGGAACTGCTTGTATCTGCATTAATTATTTGGATCCTGGGTCCAGCACATCTGAAGATTCAGGATCATCTCCAATTAAATCTTTCAGGCAAATGCTGTATTTTGTGACACTGATATGGAAGAATCTTGCCCTGCTTACATCCAATCCCTGCTGTTGCAATGATAATTCTTCCAGCTCATGACGTTGATTGTATCACCTCAATCTCTGTATTTTTCACTGGTTCCTCCTCTCTTAAACATGAACTACTCATCCTCAAGTAAAGTAGCTAATAAGAGTGGAATGGGACAAAGGCACTAATTGCTTAGAAAACCCTTTGATTATATGTCTATTATTTAAAGCAGGGGTTTTCAACCTTTTTTACTGAGTGTACCCCCAGTGGCCAGATGTGGAGTGGGGGGGAGCGCGGCTGGATGCAGAGCACCAGCAGTGCAGGCTGGTGGTTGGCGGTGGCAGCCACTGTGTGCAAGCTTCCCTCTCCCCCCAGCAGCCAGCTGAGCGGCATCTGTGTGGGCTGCAGAGGGGCACCGCTGCCCTCACCCCTCCCCGCCCTGCTCCTGGGACATGGCGGCACAAGGTGGTGGGTGGTGGTGCTCCATCCCTGCCCACCCGTGCATACCCCCTATGGCCTTCCCAAGTACCCCCAGTTGACAACCTCTGGTTTAAAGGGTTAGCCTGGTACTTACATGTAATTCCTATCTTATACAGCTCTCTGAATTTTTGATTATAACCTTCCCCCGGAACATAGTCTCCAAGACCAATGGTGCTCAGGGAAATGAAACAAAAGTAAAAAGATTCCAAAAAATTCCAGTCATCCTCCAGAGCAGAAAATATTGCTGCTGGGATAAAGAAAAAACACAGCACAGTGATGAACCCAAGAACCACTGCATGGACGATGGCAACAACTTGCTTGGAGAAACCCCAGCGAACGTGGAAATATAGCACAGGCCGTCGGGTGACATGAACTATGATGCGCTGCACCACAGCCGTCAGGAAAAGCAGCGTAAAGGGAATTCCGATGACAGAGTAGACGATACAAAAGGCTTTTCCTCCATCTGACAAAGGCACAGTGTGGCCATACCCTGGAACAAAACAGAAGAAGGGGACATACTTAATGTGGGAAATAAGTTGGAACATACACAATCGATCACTGGGGAGCTTATTTTAGGAATCTGTGGGCACTTCTACACATGCCCTTGACTGTGCATTTGGTACTGTGCGTTCCTGGCAGCACACGGTTATTTTTACATCCTACATTGCCGTCACACTTTGTGCCCGACAAGCTACAGTGATGCAGCGTCTCGTGTAGATAAGCCCTGCGACAACTAGACTAAGAACTTTTCTCAGAATACAAAGGTTTCAACTTTACTCTACTATAAATTACCATTACTAAAAATAATTGTTAACTTATTTTCATAATGCGATTTTTCCATAAGGCACTTACCTGAGACTCTGCTCAAGCTGCTTTGAAACAAAATAAAACAGAAGAAAAAACCCTCCAAAGCAAAAAGTATTGCTTGGAGGCTGGACCTTCTGTAGGTCATTGGTGTTTTATAAATGTCAATCTGTTTAACCTAGAGCATACAAATACAGGTAGTTTTGTATAGGTTGCGGATGGTCAACAAATTCTGCAGTCTGATGTTGAAAATGTATGCAATTATACTTGTTTACAGACTGACAGGCTACAATGTCAAAGTACATCACTACTTCATACTAGACTGCCTGGTTTTAAAAGCAAGCCACAGGCACAGTAAATTCATTGCAAATCATGAATGTTTTTTTTCTGTTTGCCAGTCAACAAAATAACTATTTTATTTTTCATTCTATCAGGATAGTTTCCTACAATCGATCATGTTACATCTCTTGAAAGATTTATAGCAATATTACACTACACAAGCCCCAGTCATACTGGAGCCAGAAAAACCCCCTCAAAAAACCAAAACTGTTCTCTCACAAAAGTAACTTCAATCCCAAAGTTTTGATCATGTTCACCTGGGAAGCTGGCCATGAAAAATAAACTATCATGTTCAGAATGTCCTTTCATTTTATATGAACATGAGGAATTTCTCCTCTTGATTGAATGCATTTCCAGTAATCTAAAAATTGTTAATATGCGTCTCAGAGAAAGTCTTTTTTATAAGCATTTAAAACACTTGTAGGTAATGGGAGAAAAAATGCATCCTTTTTAACCTTCTCACTATTACAGCCTTTTAAAAAGTAGTGTTATGAAAAGGCAGTCAAAGTTCTTTGGGTAAATGTGGTATCTTTTATTAGACCAATTAAATAGTTGGAAAAACTGTTCTTTTTAAGCTTTTGGGCATAAACATGTTTCTTCAGGCATAGGGAGAGTCTGCTGTTGTTTTGTGTTCTCCTGGATGTTTTCCGTGTTATAAAAAGCAAGCTTTTAATTTCTGTCTATTAACGACATGATGCATCCAACGGGAACCTTTGGTCCTATTTTACTTTTAAGGATGTAATGAATAATTCATCCAAGTTCGTAACTTGAACCCCAGAATAATCATGTCACAGGGCACTCCCTTTTTTTTTTTTTTTTTTTAAGTACAGTGTTACTGAAATCTATTATAAGCCTTGTCAATTTTTCAACACTAAGTGGGCATTTCATCCAACTCATGCATTGAATTTTTCCTGGATCTGCCCCCTGGAATTTTCTGCCTAAATCATCTAACGTATTATTAAAATCAACTGGAAAAAGAACAACACGTGGTACAATCAGTGATTCCTAAAGTTGTTTCCTTTTCCAAATTTTAGGACCTAATCCAAAAAGATACAGATCAGGTCTTTTTCCTTTCAATTAAGGGGTGGGCAATTATTTGGGCCTGTGAGTTTTGATGAGCTGTTGGAAGCCAGGTCACCACCCCAGCACCCGTCCGCTCACCCTGCTGCAACAACTCACCAAACCTCCCTATGTGGGATGGGGCCACGGGCAAGCAGGGAGCAGTGTTGAAGACTGAGACAGACAAGCGAGGCTGGATCATGGAGCAGGACAGCCCCCGCCCTGTGGCGGACGGACTGCCTGTGTGCTACGTCTTGGGAGCTGGCCAGGGAAAAAGGGAGGGAGGAGGGGGCATATGCAGCAGTGCTTGCCTGGGCACTGTGGTCTGCAGCTGCCCCTGCGGCACTTGGGGCCAGCCAGCAAGCCCAGCTTACCAACAGGGCTGCTCCCAGTGTGGCCGCTCCTCAGCTCCTCTCACCTCCAGTGACAGCTCCTCCTCCTGCTCCTACTGTGCTCCTTTAGGCTGGGAAGTTCCTGCCCCAGTGCCTGAGGCTCTGGCTCCAGCTCCCAGCTGCCTTCCAGCCTTTCTGCCTGCCTGGCGCGATGAGCTGCCACCTGTGGGTGGTGGGGTGGGTGGACTGGAGCTGGAGCCCCATGTGTTGGGGCAGGAGCTGCCCAGCTGCAGTCTCCTCCTGGCCTGGAGGGGTGCAGCAGAAGCAAAGGGAGGAGCTGCCCCTGGAGGTGAGGGGAGCCGAGTAGCAACCGCACCAGGAGCAGCCCCGGTGGTAAGCTGTATGTGCTGGCCAGGATCAGGCCAGTGGGTGTGGGCTGGAACATGGTGCAGGCTGCCCCAGGCGGGCCTCAGCCCCATGTGGAGCAGCATGGGGGCCAGCCCCAGGCCAGATCAAAGCAATTTCCCAGTGCAAGTGCATTTAAATCAAGTTTTCTTTTAATAAAAATCTACTTTAAATTTGAAATTGTTACAACTTATACTGAGGCTTAATATTACAGTAATCTAATGTATTTATATTTTATAATGTAATATTCAAAGCCATACATTTTTTTCTCCAATTTTTAAAACAATGTCAAACCCTTACCCTGTAGGAAATAATTGGCTACATACTTGAACAAGAACTTGTTGAGGTGCTGAACCAGCTTTTGGACAATGTGGGCTACTGTTGCAAGATACAGATTATATATTCTTCATTTTAATTTATTCAGTTTAGCTCATTTAAATTTAAGAAACCATTTGGGAATTGAAAAAAACAGGAAAGCATGTTTTTCTTCTCCAGTCTAGGAATAAAAAGTAGGTGAGAACAGCTCAGATCTATTTGCTCTAAATTTCTGAAGGGTATAGGAGCCAGAAATAATCAGTTCAATACACTAACTACAGATATTTCCTTTCTTTAACTTACAAAATTATTTTTAAAAGCAAAGTAAGTTTTGATAAGCCTCTTTTACATATGCACATTTTTAACTAATAAATGCACTTTTTAAAATGCTAGCTTTCCGTTTTCACTGAATTCTATTTTTATCCAAAAGCAGCTTGACACAAATGGTAAGTAAAAGATTATTGGATAAATAGGAAGTGCCATTTACCACCACAAAAAAAATTAAAAAATAAGCATCAGAATAAATATGTAATTATGTAACTATACACACAGTGAATAAAAATAAGTAACAAGTTTAATGCAAGGTCTACATTTACATGCAAATCATTGTCTTAATTACTAGAAAGGTTAATTCCTTTTGCCTTTAGGAAAATAACTAAAAAGTATAAATGCAAAATGGGATTCACATAGATCATTTAAAACAAAAAGTTCTTTGCAGGCTATTTTAAAATATCATTTAAATCAATCTATCCTAGCCAACAGGGTCACTTATTAGATTAGCTGTGCTTTTGGTTTTATATCATATGACTATATGTTTACTAGCAACGGGACTCTGACAATAAAATGTATTGCATGCAAGTTACTAAGGAGCCAACAATTGTAACAGCTTTCAGCCACAACAAAGGATGCCTGGATTTTAATCACTAACCTGCAAGTGAGGACAACATCTCATTACTTATCCCTTACTGGCTCTCAACTAAAACGACTTAACTGTTTTGCCTATGGTTGTGCTATGATTTGAATTTTCTGTATGCACCATTTAGATAAGAATACAGGCAGATAACATGGAGCTTAGTAACACCAGAGAATATTTTAAAAGATATTCCTTGTGTTTAGACAGGCAGCAGCAAAAAACATTGTGAAAAGAAACAGCAACTGTAAAGGAGACCTTGTACAGTGCTAGTGTGACCTGGGGCAACGAAACTCAACCCAGGAAAGAATGGGTCTTGGCTCTTTGTCTCTCTTCCTCTGTGTCAGTAGCAGATTTATGTCAGTAGTTTAAGAGGCTCAAATGCATTCTCTTTATGCTCTGCTTTGTTTTTCAGCTCAGGTGATAGATGCTTGTGGTAAAAGTCAAATGGTCAAACCATAATGTTGTCAGCTCTTAATAGCACCTGAATGTAGCTCCTGAGAATGGCAGACAAGGTTCTTTGGGTGAATCTGATATCTTTTATTAGACCAACTTAAATAGTTGGAAAACAATTATTAAGCAAGCTTTCAGGTTCAAATTGAATAAGTTTATTATTTTAATAATTGGTTTCCAACTATTTAAGTTGGTCTAATAAAAAATATCAGATTCACCCAAAGAACCTTGTCTGCCTATGTCCTTAGACCAACATGGCTACAACCTACACCCCTGTTCCTGAGAATGGGGTTTTAATCACTCACTTCTGGCAGAAGTGATCACAGTTCTTCAAACAAACAAAAGCCTAATTTATGTAAAAGATCCTGAAGGCTTCTGATGCTCAGATTATTTTATGACACCAATTTCAGTTCGCATAGTTTGATTTTTCCCTGTCCCATCTGTCAAGGTTATGCAAAATATGAGCCACTGGGTGGAAGAGAGCTTTTCAACTAGATTTTCTTCTGATTCAATTTGTTAGCTGTCTCTGTGAAAGAAATATTTGCTTTAATTGGGTCTTATGGAACCTGAACATGCATATATACACACCATATCCAGATATAAAAGAATAATTTACAACAATAAATTTATTCTTAGCACCATTTAAGACATTAATGAAAAAGAATAGCTAACTAAATGGCTGGACAGGTTCTTAAATCTAGTATATTTTTGTCCTGATACCTGTGTGCTTGTGCTTTATATATAGAAGTGATTGTATAATAGCTCAAAATGTAGTCATATTCTTGTATAGTGTGTGGGGTGTGTAGCAGTGTTGGGGGGTATGGATGGGTGGTTGGATGTGGGGTTTCTGGGGAGCTGTGGATGTGTGCGTGGTATCTGTGGGATGTATGAGGAGAGTGAGGGTGAGGGTGTGGAGTTTGCAGGAAGGGTTGCTAATGGGGAGCCAGCTGGGCACTTGCTGCCCCAAGCCTCATGGCCACGTTTCCACTCCAGCAACTCCTGCTGCCGCCAGAAGGCTGGAGGCTGTCAGGGAAGGGCCTGTCAGGCTTGGCGGGGCAGTGTGGGGGGTTCCTGGAGCCGCTGGGGGTGGCATGAATCGGTGGGGACGTGGCCCAGGACATGGGAAGCCCAAGAAGGCGGTCCAGAACTTGCATCACGCGCCTGAGACTTGGGTTACCAAAGGCTTGGCTGCCCTCCCCCCCCCAGGAGGTTGCCACCACTCTGGGGGGATGGCTCAGCAGCCTGACAGCAGCTTGCCCCCCCCGCCCCAGCCCCAAGACAGGCCGGGAGTCTGCGCCAGGAGCCAGAGCAGAACAGCAGCTGTTTTTCTGCTTTAGAAGCTCCTGCAGCTTCCAGGAGGCCAGGGGCCACAGAGAAGCTCCTGGCCAGCCATGCGGGCAGAGTGGGGGGGCCCACCTGAGGCCGCTGGTGGTGGCATGTGGCCCAGGATGTAGGAAGTCCAGGGATGCAACATGGAAGTTGCATCCTGCGCCTGAGGCTTGGGACGGCTGCCCCCACCCACAGGCATCCCCAGTGGGTGCCGCCACCCTGTGGGGAAGGCCCAGCGGCCTGGCAGCAACTCGTCCCCCCAGCCCCAGGACAAGCAGGAGGCTGCGCCAGGAGTGGGAGCGGAGCCGCAGCTGCTTTTTTCTTCTGAAAGCTTCTGTGGCCTCCTCAAGCTTCCTGTGCCCTGGGCTGGGACCCTGCCACGTTGTGCCATACCAGCAGCTTTGGGAGGTGACCCGTGCTGCCCCTGGGGCTGGCCAGGAGCTTCCCCAGGGCCCCTGGGCTCCTTGTGGCCACAGGAACTTCTGGAGCAGAAAAGTGGCTGTAGATCCACTCCTGCTCCTGGCACAGCCTCCCCACTCATCCTGGGGCAAGGGAGCAAGCTGCCACTGGGTCCCTGTGGGGCAGGGGGGGCCCAGGCCTTCACCCACCCTGGGCAGCAGCACCCATTGGAGCCTCCCATGGCAGTGGGCAGCTGGGCTGTTGCTACCCCAAGCCTCAGGCACAAGATGGAAGTTCCCCGCAGCCTCTCTGCACCCCACCAGGTCATGCTGCCCCCAGGGCTGGACAGGGGGTTTGGGAGCTAGCAACAGCCAGGCGGTGTCCTGGGGCCAGTGCCAGCGGGGCCAAGAACAAGGTGGCAGGAGCCCGGGGTGCAGCTGGCTGGGCTCTACAGAGCTGGGCTGGGTTGCCCCAGCAGAGGGAGAGAGGAGCCACCCTGCTCTGGGCCCTGTGACCAGACGGGGACCAGTGTGCCCTCTGACCCCCTTTTACCTGAGCTTCCTACTCCAGCATTGACAGGAACAGCCCCATGGTCCCTCCACCAGGGAAGGCAGGGCAGGGCAGGCCCTGCTCTTCTAGGGGCCTGCTGTGGCTTCCACTGGGTCCTAATGCCCCTGGCTCCTGTCCCTTTTGACTGTAGCCAGAGGCAAATAAATATTAATTTTTAAAAAATTTCTTGGGGCCCTGCAACCCAGACAGAACGGGCTTGCAGGCCACATCTGGCCCGCAGGCTGTATTTTGTCCACCCCTGTTTTAGACTGTGTGGTCCTCAAGTCAAGGTTCATGGGTATGTCTATACAGCAAAACTAATGTGTAGTTGCAGCACTTGTCAGCAGACCTGTTTGAGCTTTATCTAGCTTGCTCAGGAAATGGTAGCAGTGTTGACGAAGTGTCAGGGATGCAAACGCATGACCTTAGCCAAAGAAGGCCAAGAGTGCACTATGTATCCAGAGTTGTTGCAGAGTTTGCAATCTGATTGCTAATTAGCAAGCGATGAAGATCATGCTGCTGTGCCTTCACTGCTATTTCTTACCTGTAATACCCAGAATAATCTATTAACACAGGTCTCCTCACATGTTTCACCATCACATTTTCATTTCCCCCAACATTAACTATGTGTTTGTAGCTTGTTACCAGCCATAGTAGAAAAGCATCTAAACTTGCCTGCCCAGCTGCAAAGGGAACAAGTGCAGAAACAGTGAGGACCCTGTATGGCTTGGCTCTGAGGATGCCTGCAACCAGCTTAGATGGTGTTCATTAATTCGGCCTTGTGGGCCAGATGAGTGGCACAGGGCTGATCCACAAGCCGGATTAGACCCCATGGGCTGGGATCAGGTCCTGATGCTCACCCCCTGCCTAGCACTGTGCCCAGGATCAGGCCCTGCAGCCCCTAAGTAGCTCAATGAGCTATGCTATCCAGCCCACAGGACTCCCCATGGGTCCAGAAATTTGGCAGCAGAGGAGCAGCAATTAACACTGCTGCCCTGCCACCCAATTGTCAAACATGTGAGGAGCCCCATGGGCCAAACAACATAGCTCTGGGGCCACATCTGAGCACTCCTGGCTTAGACTGAGCCAGGCGCTAAACCCAGCATGCCAGTCACCTGGATTGACAGACCTATTCTTATTGACCTTTTGTAGGCTGAGTATCTGCTTGTAAGCATGTTACTTTATTTTTTAAAAAGTGTAAAAATAGTTTGGAAATTTATGAGGCTGAGGCAAGTGGTGGGGGGGACACACAAACTTTTCCAGTTATAATATTTTTATGTGACTTTTCCCAACAATGCCACTACATTTTTGTACTCCACTGCAAAACATGTTAACAAAACACCATGGCCAGATATTCAGGGGAAAGGAAAAAAAATAGGAAATTAAGTTACATGCATGTCACTGTTTTGTCACTTGTTTTCTGTTTCACCTCATCTCCTTCCTTTGATCTATTTGTTATTTTTTGCTCTGTCACCTCTTTAAAGGCAAAGCCTTCTCTCTATAATGCATCTACACACTGATTCTATATAAATAATATATAATAAACAACAACATGCCAGCTTCTTTTCTTCAGCTGAAGCTGTCATGTTGAAGCACATCAAAACTGTAGCTTAAGGCATGCTTCCCTTATAAGAAAGCAAGGCTTAAACCAGTGCTTCCCAAACTTTTCCTCAGCATGACCCCATTTATGGCCCCATTTTCTCAGCATGGCCCCTCACTCCCAACCCACTGTGACCCCATCTGCTGATGTTGTGACCCCATTTGGAGTCACAACCCACGATTTGGGAACCATTGACTTAAGTTATTTATTCTTTTTAATAAATCAGTCCAGAAGCAAGGATTTTTTGTGGGTGATAACTTTTATTGGACAAATTCCTGGACCACTGTGGCTACAACATCACTCCAACACACTTAAATCAGTCTAACAGGACAGAGGCAGACTTGGTTTGGGTGGCTAGAGTTAAATGATTCAGGTGAAAGATCCAGTAATTCAATTATTAATTATAAAAATCTGAGATGCAAAGAATAAATATGTCCCACACCCGCAGAAAAAAAAAAAGTCACTGGAAGTCACTACAAGACACATAGGCTGTAGTGGATAAGACCATGATCAATCTAGTTTCGCATCTCATCACTGACAGCGAGCCACTACCAGATACAAGTGCCTCTTATAGTGGACATTTATGGACTAGCCAGATCCAAGGGGATTTTTTTTTCCATAATAGCCATTTAGGGTGCGTCCACATATGAAGGCATGTGTGCTTGCAGCAGCTCAAATAGAAGCAGCACAAATTTGAGCTGAGGCTTTTTGTCTCGGGGCATGTGCCTGGACATGCACTTTGGTGTGGGACAAATTGTGCCACTTGGGGCAAAATTACCCTGCCTGGCTCCTCCTGGATCTGCAGCCAGGGAGAGCTAGAGCCCAGGGCCAGCATCCATGCTGGCTCCAGCAGTATAAGAAGCTGCCCTGGCAAGTAGTTCAGGGCTACTTGCTCTCATGAGCTTCTGAAAGAGACCCTGGCACACATGACCCTGGAGTGCACGAGATTGTAGCCTCTCCACCTCCAGAACCTCTTCTTGAGGTTCTGGTTGAATTTCATCCCCCACTTTTTTGTTTTTGGTTACCCCATCCACAGCCCCACCAAGTCCCGGGACCTCCTACTTAACCTCCTCCTGGCACTGGCCAAGTGGACCTTGTACTTGAGCAGGAAGGAGGCTCTGACTGGGAAAGTGCCCAGAGACCATGGGTCTGCTTTCCTCTCGCTTGTCCGTGTATGTTTCTGGGCAGAGCACCAGTGGGCAGCGTCCACCAGCTCCTTGGATGCCTTTGAGGACTGGTGGGTGCGGCCCGGGGGGGGGGGGGTCTGCTCGGGGTCCCCCTCAGGCATGTTGTATATGAATCTTGTAGAGTTAAAGCAAGGCTTTGTAATGCTAAAAGTGAGGCCATTTCTTTGTCCTTTCACCTCCATTTCATAAAAGTAGACACAGCACTTACGAGACAGTTGGGAGGGAAGAGGGGTACTGTGTAAGGATTACTGATAAGATACGAAACTACCTGAATCCAATCAACAGAGGAGTCTCGTCAACAGAGAAACCTTGAAGGTGGCTACAAGGATTGTTTTTATAAGATAAGATACATCTGGGCAAAAAAAATATGGGGCATGTAGTCACGAGAGTTATACTTCAGTGTTCACGCTCACAGTGCTGCTTGATTGGATAGAATAGTGATTTAGTTAATAGATGATTGGGTATTTTTACGAGCACGAGCTAATCACGAACTAACGCTGACATACTAACAAAGTATAAAATAGTATTATTTCTAGTAGGGGGGTCCCTCTTCGGAGGCACCTGGCTGCAGCGAATAAAGATTCTGTATCTGACTTTGGATACTTGCTCTGCATGATCACTGCCCCAGCCTAGAGCGAACTGCACATGGCTTTAAGAGCGTAATTCATAACAGGCACACTTATTTTCACGTTTTGACCCTTTGACCCACATGACACTCCTATCCTGTTTTTTCATTAGTTAGCCTTATGGTTACAGTTAGCCTCAGGGCCCACAATAATTCGGGGACACAAATAGTCAAGAGCTTCTGGGAGAGACCCTGGTGCGCATACTCTCAAGTGTGCGAGACTGCAGCCCCTCCACCTCCACCACCTCCTTCTGAGGTTCTGGTTGAATTTCACCCCTCACCTTTTTGTTTTTGGGCACCCCATCCACAGCCCCACCGAGTCCTCGGACCTCCTGGTTAACCTTCTCCTGACCTTGGCCAAGTGGGCCCTGTACATGACCAGGAAGGACATACTGGCCAGGAAGGTGCCTGGGTTTCATAGGTGCTTCAAGCACCTCCAATGGCAAGCTATTCCAGACCTTGGGGGCTCGGACAGTAAAGAAATTCTTCCTTATGTCCAGCCTGAAACGGTCTTGCTGGAGTTTATGACCGTTCGACCTTGTCATCCCTTGGGGCACTCTGGTGAACAAACGTTCCCCCAGATACTGGTGGTCACCCCGATAAACTTATAGATGGCCATCAGATCACCCCTGAGCCTGCGCTTTTCCAGGCTAAAGAGCCCCATGGCGCTCAGCCTGCCGTCGTAAGGTCCATTTTCCTGACCTCTGATCATGTGTGTAGCTCTTCTCTGGACTCTTTCAAGCTTCTCCACATCCTTTTTGAGTTGTGGAGCCCAAAACTGGACACTGCATCTGAGGCTGCTTTCCCCTCACTTATCCATGCATGTTTCTGCGCAGAGCACCACTGGACGACATCCACCTGCTCCTTGGAAGCCTTTGAGGACCAGTGGGTGCAGCCCAGGAGGCTCTGCTCCATGTCCCCCTCAGGCACACTCATTTTCACATTTTGACCCTTCAACTCACACGACACTCCCATCCTGTTTTTCCCTTGGTTATTCCAAGCATTTTGTTGTGTTATTCATTCATTGGTTCCACAATGAAGGGGCCACTACTTAGTCATGTGGGCTCAGCAAGGTGCCGCGTGCTGTCAGGCAGCTCAGGGCCACTCAGGCTAAGTAGTGCTGAGCCCTGGGTGACATCTGGCAGCTCGGGGCTGCTGGGGCTAGTGCGCAGTGCTGCACAGCACCCTGCAAAGCTAGGCCGTACCCACACTATGCGGCAGTGTAGGTGCCCGGCAGCTGGGGCTGAGCCCTGCTGTCCCCCGCTACCTCCTGCTGTGGCGGGGCGAGGGGGACGGGGGAGGCTGTGCCATGAGGCCCCAAGTGGCCCCAGTGGCCACTGCTGCTGTCGGTGAGTGTAAGGAGGCTGGGGCAGTGTGTGTGTGTGTGTGGGGGGGGGGATTGGGTAGGGGCCAGGTGAGGCAGTGGGCAAAGGGGAAGGGGACCCACCCCTCCCAAGCTGCCCCCTTTTGGTCCACCCTCCTCCAGCCCTCCCATCACTTCCCTGGCATGGAGTCTGGGTCCAGGCATGGAGCCCTGCACAGGCAGGCAGCATGCTTCAGTACTGGGGAAAGGAACAGCTGTAGAGACTCTGGGTGGCTACCACCGCAGCTCTGTGGAAGACCTGAGCTTCCAGTTGCCTCTGTGCCACGCCCCACTCTTTTACCCCGGGGTATTTTTTTTGATACCTGGATCTCCAGGTATCAAACTTTGATCCTGCTCTGCATATTTGCAAAGTGGGGAATGTTTTTTTGTTCCCAGTGT